TATCCAATCAATATCATTTATATTTAATTGATTATTTAAATATAATGTAATAGCCTTTCTAATAAAAAGCTGTCCTGAATAGTCTGCTATTACAGGTATTGCATTTTTTTTTATATATTCTAATAAACTTTTTATGCTAGCTATCATTTTTATTGCTGACAAATAATCTTCCAAGGAACAAAGGCTTTGCTGCTTCACATTAATTATTTTCACTGATTCCATAGATCTTTCTTCTTTCTTTTCTTCAATATTTTCATTATACATATGGATTGTTAAAAGCCCAATGCAATTAAATTTTTTACCATCAATCATTTTATCTTTAAACCATTGTATCTTCACATTATTATAACTTTTATCAAAAATTCCTCTATAATCATTAATAAGTTTTGAATTAATTAATGAATATTCAATATTATCTGGATTAAAAATAGGTACATTTTCAAAATTTGCAGGAACCACAGGAATATTTTCAATTTTTTTGACAACACATGTTGCCATATGTATTGCTGAAGATAACGATGTGGAATCAGGTCTTCTCCACTCATGAATTGAATGGTAATCATCAATATTAAAACAATGCATATATTGAATGTTGTAAAAAAAATACTCTTCTATTATTTTTTGATGATTTTCAGCAACTTTCTTTTTGTAAGTTTGGATTGTTTTATAACAAGCTGAGATATTTGCATTTGATAAGGTGTCAAGTGCAGCAGCACTAGTTCCATTTGCTTCTAAATAGAGTCCAAGGTCTAATTTAAAATTATTTACAAATTTATTTCTTATGCCAGCTAAAAGATAACAAAAGCCAACAATAGATTTTTTGGCAGACTCCTTATTTGAATATGTGTGTCTTTCAGGAATTATTTTTTCTAATTCATCAAAAAATCCTTTCAATTTTGGTTCTTTTTCTTCAATTAATTTACAAAAGTTTATAGGGTCCAATTAGAATTAAAAATAGTTCTTCCTTTTAGATATTATTATTAAAGAGCGAAACATGTAAAATTTTTGGTTTAGAGATCAGCTGAAATTTCTATTTTTAGAAGCGATCACACACCCGTTTTTGTCACATTTCACAACCAATCAAATCAAACTTCCACCATGCTCGTATTGATAAAACTAGGAGAGTTATTATATGTGTGCATTTAATATTTGCTAATCAAAAATTCTGTTTGCAGAATATCTTTATATCTGTTACATAGCCATTCTAAAGCCTCTTTAGCTGTTGGTCTCTTTTTAGAATCCTTTAACATCAAACTTCTTTCTGCATATTCAGTTAATAGTTCTGATTTTATAGAAGTTTCTAATATCAGGTGTCCAATAGACCAAATATCAACACTTTTGTCATGATTCCCACTAAAAATTTCAGGTGCATGGCTTCTCCTATCTAGTTGCATATAAGGAACACTTGAAGGAGAATCACATGCCTCATCAAAGTCAATTATAAACCATCTGTCCTTATCAGTATACTTCATTAGATTCTCCCAGCGAATATCTCTATGCATGATATTCAATCCATGAAATGCCTTAAAATAAATAAAAATTTACTTAAAAAATATTGTGCTTCTAAGATAATAAAGTATTAAACAAAAAAAAATACCTCAACTGCAGTCAATGCACAATGCAATGCCATAACTAGTTGTTTCTCTGATTGTGGTTTATAATGTATACCTTTGGGTGATAGAATAACAAATGGGACTGATTGTTCTTCAATTTTAACTTTAATCAAAGAATCAATAAAAGGAATATGATGAGATTTCATTTTATCATACAAGTTCACAATATGTCCCACTAATTCTGCTGATTTATAATGCTTTATAACTACATTCTGCATTAATTCAATTATTTTACCATTATCCCGATGAATGATGGTGAATTCTTGAAGGGAGTCTGGAATAGTTTTTCGAAGTAGAGGCAATAAATGCCCAATATTTCTTCCAATAAGGAATGCTTCAATTCGTCCATCCAGTTTTTCTAAATTACATGTTTTGAGGTCTATTCGTTCAATTGAATCTCTACCTTTCTGCAAATAACAAAATGTAACCATGAACCCAACTGCATAATAGCCAAAGATATATGGACACTCTCCATATATCCATATTAATTTAGAAGTGAGTTCATTTGCGGGATCCTCTGCATTACTGGGTGCTTTTTCTTCACCCCTAAATAGACAAGCATTTGATACCAAAAAGGAAAAATCAGGATGAAGTTGTCTTGTTGATGTATTATAAGATGAATTTCGATTGTAAGCTCCATCTGGACATCCAAGTTTAATGGGGATATATATGGCTTGTTGCCAAAGTGGATGATATGAATCTTCAGTGAAACTTGGTTGAAGTAAGGTAACAATGCCATTGATAAATTCAATCCATAGTTTTATAGAAGCATTAGGAGAACTGACAAAGATTTTGTTCAGAAAATTTGGATTAACTTTTGAGCGAAAGCAAGAATCATATATTGCTGGTGTAACTTTAATTGGGCTATCAGGTGGTTGTTGGAGCCAATTCTTTAAACTATCAGGACTTGGAATAAATTCAGGTTCTTTTTTTAACATACCCAAAGTAAAAAAGTATTCTGTGTTGAAAAAAATATCTGATTAGATGCATAAGTTCAAATATATGTGACTATTGATGAAAAAATTACCTTCATCATAGGCTTGTAAATCAATGATAAGTTAAAATGTTATTAATGAACATGATGTGATTTTGAAATGAATTTAAGTCCAAAGTATTGAAGAAAAAAAAGCATAAGTTAGTCAGTGTTATAAACAATATACCAAATAAATAAACAAAATGGAATGAACGAAAAATATATATATTTTTTTTTTATGCAATTTGTTCATTACCTTCCCCTCCTCTACCGAACTCTCTCAACGCCTTTCCCCATTCCTCCACCTGCTTCCATCTGTCATCTTTTTCCTTCTCCAGCTTTTCTTTTTCCTCCTTCAACTCTTTCATCTCTCCCACATAAATTTCCGCATCCCCTCTCCTAAGCTTTGTCAACCTCTCTCCCCACTCCTTCTCCCAATCATTCAACTTCTTTGTTGCCTCACCATACTCTTTCTTAGCATCGTTTAATTCGTTTAGTATTTCTTCAACAGTTGTCATTTTTTTTTGAATTAAAAAAGAAGTTTAAAAAATGAATTTTAAAAAAAAAAATTTTTTTTTATTGATTAAATCGTAATTGTTATAATTTATGACCAATGATAAATTAGTAGGCACATGACTTGCAATTAAATTTTTTTTTACGGACAAAATTAAACGATGGAAGAAAATTATTTTTATTTTAATTCAACTAATAATAGAAAAATACATAAATAATTATAAAAGTATAAGTTAAAAAAATTTGCATGAGAGGAAAATACTCGGACCCAAAGCCATTTATAAGTATTACCTATTCTTTGGACACTCTGACAAAAACTCAACTTTTGTGATTACTACTGCTATTATTATCAATAATATTATTATTACTAATATTTATATCTTCATCATTTTTATTATCTTCTCTGACTTCATTCTCTATATCTTTCTTCTTTTCCTTTTCAACCCATTGCTGAATTGCTCCTAGTGTTTTTCTTCTAGGATTTGTTTTTCATTGGTAGAAGTTTTTTATTGTAGAAACAGCAATTCCCTTTCCCTCTGTAAGTAATTCACGAATTCCAATAGCCATTTCATTAAATGAAAAATCAGGATTCGACCCAGTCTTTTTGTCAAATAATTGCTTGTTATCTTTCCATAGATTTTCTATTTCTTGTGAATATTGTTTATCATCAGTAAGTTTGTTTATTTTATTTTTGAGTTGGCTTTTTCTTGGTTCTATTTTATTGATTATTGATCGATTTTTTGATTTATAATAGAGAGTTGATTTTGTAAGTTTTACAATGAAGTAAGAAACCAAGCAAGTGTCTGATTAACAACCCGCAAAAAAGTTCACAGTTGAAAGTAAGCATTTCTTAAAATGTTATTATGGTTGTAAATATTTATTGATTATTTGTTTGTTTATTAAACCAGAATAAAATTGTGTTTAATGGTAATTATTAGAAGGATTTGTTATTTGAATTTTTTTACCTGAAAACTAAGTGAATTAGTGATGTTTTTATAATGTTTCAATACAAGGCGAGATTATTTACCTTGTTTCAATGTAAATGAGAGAAAAACAAAGATTTATGAAACATATCCTTGAATGTAAAATTTGCTCAAACAAAAATTTTCTTTATTGATAATCATTAATTACATTTTCATAAAAAATTTTCTTTGTAGCAATAATTGGTAAAAAAACTGTCAATATTGTAATAATAAGATTATTTTTCTTATAAGAATTTCTGCTTTTTGTTGGATAATAATGCACCTTCACTCTGCTTTCTTTTCTTAATGTTTATTATTTTTCTCTCTTCTTGGTAAATTTCATAGGTAATCCTTTCTTTTCTTAGATGAGCTTCAAGTGCCTGAGTATCATTTATTTTGAAAATGTAAGGAGAAATTTTTTCACCTTGTTCCTTTTTTAGAATACTTCTAATGGTGCTGTAATTCATAGTAGATTTGATGTGAGTTTCATATTAACTATTTTTGTCTAGATGAATATCATGATCACACTATATTGGTAGCACAATTGTGATAATGTGATATTAAACAAACACTATTGAGCCCTGTAATTCTGGTAATACAAATGTTCACTTTGGTTTTGTTGCAGTATGCCCCATATATTTTACTTTTAAAAATCCTAAATCTTGATATTTTTTTATTGATTTCAATCTGTGAAAACCATCAAATTTTCCACTTATTGTAAAAGGTTTGGGCCCTTTCCAATCCTTCATTAAATTATCAAAAGAATTATCATTAATATTAGAAATCTTGTGATTAATAATTATTGACTTTAATTTTTCTGGTAATGTTTGATTTAAAACTGCTAAAATTCTATCACCATCTATTCCTTCCTCAATATGTAAAAAATTATTAAATTTAATCCTTTCTAACTTAATACAATTATTGAGTATTTCCATAAACTCCTGGCCTACTTCATCCTTATAAACTATTGATAAATCTACTAAATTTTTACATTGTGCAATTGATTGAAATAACTTGCCCAAAAGTTCACTATCGTCAGCAAGAATATTTAGATATTTAAGAGTTTTTCTGTTGATATTAATAAAATCAGATATCTCTGATAGAAATGGCTTATGGTAAATATATAAATTCATAGATTCAATATTTGGCAGTGAAACCTTTTTCAAATATTCTATTTTGTTACCAGCATATAATTCTATTAATAAAGTCTTTAAATTGTATAGAATTGGTAATAATATATTATCTATATTATCATTACATGATCCATTGCTCGAATAATGAATTATTGATTGTGAATGTGAGAGTATTGCTTTTTTGAAATTATCTGAAAAAGCACAATCAGCATTTGAATAAATGATTAATCTCTTTATTTGATTTTGTGCTTTAATTAATTGAGCCATACTTTCTTGAAATCTATTGTTGTCTGTATTACAATACATTTTTAATGATTGAATAGATTTGCAAGTATTTGCTAATTTATCAATAAGTTCAATACTACAAGCAAATGTACAAATCAATTTATTGAGATTCTGAAAGCTATTATCAAATCCATGATAACTATTTATCCAACTCCAATTTATTTCTTCAGCACTAAATTCATTAATAACTGAATGATCTAAAATAAATTTTGCTAATCTATTTTTTAAAATATCCAATCTAGAAGTTGTCAACTTTTTAAAATAGCGATAGTAAAAAGTAAATCTAGTACAAAATCTAGCATAATTATGTAAGGGTGGTTTCTCTAATAAGTCAAAAGTTAATTCAAGGCTATTTTTGGTTAAGAAATCCTTATCTTCTTCCAATAAACAATTGATTATTATTTTGATGCTTCTAACAGTATAAAATGGATCTCTCCATAAAATTGGAATATTAATATTGTGCCATTGTTTATTGACAAGGATGCAAGAATACAATGTTTTATAATCATCTTCATTGTACTTAAATATTTCATTTAAAAGCTCAAATGGTAAAGTTATTGACATTTTTTTTTTGAACGAAAATGTATATAAAAAATTTAATTTATGTAACACGATCTCCAGTATGATGGGCCAATAAAAATAAGCCACATATTTTTGGACCTAAATTTTAATTTAATATAAAAACCATAAAAAGCTATTTCAAATTATTAATTAAAATTCTCAGAAACACTGATTAAGTATAGCAAGTGAATGTATAGAAATGCTAATTGTGTAAATATTCTTATATTTATTATATATTTAAAAATATTATTAAATCTCAAAAGAAATTACATGTTTTTAATTCTTGGTTCTTGAGGGAAGCAAGTGTTGGTATGCAAACTTGAAATGTTATAAAACATTCTAGAATTTTTCAAAAAATTACCATCAATCAGATGGATTGAGGGATAGTAGAAGTCAATAACAATATAACAATATATCTTCATCTACTCTATATACTACTTGTTCTACCTATTCTTCATAGAAATTATATAAAATTTTCTTTTTACTTGTGGGAGCTCCTGTAATTTTACTTGGTATTTATGAAGATAATTAACATAATTAATACATTAGCATAGTGGAATTTCGTAATTATCACGAATGTGACTTAAAATGTCGATCTTTTTTATATTGTGTAATGGTAATTTT